TAGAACTGATATTTATAGTGAAAGCTAAAAAAGCAAGAATTTCCAGATGATGCCTTTCATAATTGTCGTCCTTTTGTAAAATTGTCTTTATGATTAATCGACAGAGAATAAAGCATCAATGGTGACAAGTGTGAAGAATCTTTTTAGTAACTGGCTTTCTTTTCCATGAGATGATCTCTTTTTGTGACTTTTCCTTCTCAGAACAAATATCTGGTTTACTTTTTTTTGCAGATATACACTGTTTACAAACTCACTGTTGAAGATGAATACTTTTATCCTTTTTACTTTTTGAAAAAGGTAGTTCAACAAGCTACCTCAGTAGATAAAGATTGTGGGTTCAAGTAATGTTACCACGTATTTATAAGATTTCTGTACATGTCAAGTCTTTAGATAAAATCAATGAGTCTGGTCTACTTCTAATGGAGAGGCTTTCTATTTTAGATAAGCCGGTTCAACTCATTATACTGCATAAGGCTTCGGATTGAAAATCTCTTCTCATGATTCAACTAGGAAGTTTCTTCTTCGACTCAATATAAAATAAATAACAAAATCAGCAAAATTCTCTATCGTCCATTTCATGAAGTTCTTTGCCTTAGATGTCATATAGGTTCAACCAACACCATTTCGAATTCTGGGTTGCACTTTACTACAGTTGTTCTTGATGCTACATTTTCTTTAACTATAGACTCACTCTCCCAATTTCTTGAATTCACGTTACTAGAAAGGCAAGGAGTTATAGATTTTTAAGTGAAGTTTTCAAGGCCATGTTGATAAATAGCTGAAATTCTTCTTGTTTGACCCATTAAGGGAAATTTCATTGAGTTCAAACTATCTCAAATACGAAAGTCAACAATAAGGGCAAAGGCAATGCCCTAAAAACCGGGCAATACATTTGTGACAAGGTGGTATACTAAAACGCGATAAAAGTCCACGTTTAAATCATTGATTGGTAGCTTTCCCTCCATTCTAGATTATTGGAATCCAATTAATTTCATTGTTAAGATGATCTTGGCTTCAAATTTGATGGAATCATATTGTCTCAAAAAAAAAGTAGAATTTGCTTCATAATTAATCAAAGTTTGGTAGATGCACCCTTTAGCTACTTTTGCTGGAATGTGTGATCTTGGCTTCAAATTTGATGGAATCATATTGTCTCAAAAAAAAAGTAGAATTTGCTTCATAATTAATCAAAGTTTGGTAGATGCACCCTTTAGCTACTTTTGCTGGAATGTGTGATCTTGGCTTCAAATTTGATGGAATCATATTGTCTGCCTCAAGGGCCTATTATCTTACGGATATGTTATTATTATCCATATATTGATGTTTTACCAACTTTGATACTAATGGAAGCAATCGAGAATAAGATACTCCGACTTATAAAGAGAGTTAAAACGATTTTAGTAAAACGTGTTTGAATTAAGTGCATAGGTTACTTGAATAAAAAAACTTGGAGTAGATTAGTTCTCAATTTTTCTAATTGAAACATGCCAGTTTAGTCATAATGCTGATTTTAGAGTGAATTCCAAGAATGTTTACAGATGGTTCATGGCTCCATGCTATTTAGGACCTGCTTGGGAGTTTTGATGCACCTGTTATGGGTGTTTTTCTAAAGTGCGTTTTTTTATCATTTATGAGGTGTTCGATTTTGAGTGATTTTTAGCAACAATTTCGAGAACAGATCAACCTATGTTTGAAAGTTTATTATCAGATGTTTTAAAAGTTTTGAAGAAAATAAAATTATATATATGCCTTTTATTGAAATTTTCAATTTATAACTTATATAAAATTTTCCTCATAGATGATATTTTACTTATAAGTAATTTTTAATGTAAAAGTGAAAATTTTACTTATAATTAAAATATTAATTTATAAGTTAATTGTGTGCTTTTAAATATTTTTTTACACACAAGTAACTTTGTATAGTTTGTAAGTGAATTTTGGCCTTACTAGTTTTATTTTTTACTTCATAAGTAATTTTTTTTTTTTACACAAAATTGTATTTTATCTTATAAACAATTTTTTACTTATAATTTTTTTTATGTGTTATTGAGCAATTTTATTCTTACAGATAAAATCTTGAATTAATATATTTTTATTTACAAGTTAGTTTTGAAGATATTATATGGGTTCGAAATAAATATCTATAGGGCATAAATTGGAAGATAATTTAAGAAACTGCCAAAAACGACTTGGTGGATTGAGAATGACAACCAAAACTTGGTGGATTGAGAAAGACTAACAAAATTACATTACTTCGATTTTGATAATTTTTAATTCAAAATTTCATAAATGGTGTCACTCAAAATGATCAAAATCATTGAAAGAAAAAACTCTAAATAGATCCTTAGAATCTTGGTGGGTGTTTATAAAATTGACAGTTTTTAACCGTAACGAAAAGAACAAAAGGGTATTAATTAATCATAATTCTTTATTGAAAGTTGATTATTCCACTAGTATGAACACTTGATTAATTTCCTTAAGATTTTATTCTTGCTAGTTTTCATCTTAAGCCAATTCAATTCGACTGTTAGATAAAATATACTATTAATTTCGTGCACCTAAAGTGCATGTCAATCCTTTTTTTTAACCAATTCACTATTTTAGTGCCAACAACAATGCAATAGGATTGAGTCTTAGGTACACATATTTAGCACTTTTCTATATTTAATCAATTCATTTAAAACTTTAAATAATTTGTGCAAAAGAAATTTATTTACTTGTATCTATATCTTCGAAAGGATCTTTAGAATACATGCCAAATTCAATTTTCTATATATAATTGACGTGAGTTTCATGATTAAGAGACAACAATTCAACTATTACTTAGAATCATTTTTATTTTTTTTTTTAAATCTTTTGACCCTAATCTTTATTTGCTTTGATTGTAATATTGAATCACTTCATTTAAAGTTCCAAACTTTTATTGAATTCAAAGAATTCATTTATTTATCCTTCGAAAGTGTATGGTCATTTTTCTAGTCAAACTTATTTCATGGTAAATTGTGTTTGGTTGCTTGGTTAGTAAAATATGCTTGCCAAG